TGAGGTAAATATCAGGCAGGGAATGTAGAAGGAACCCTCAGTGATGGCCTTGAATGTGTCCAGAAACAATATGGCAGAACAGCAGGAGGTTGGGGCCACCACTGAAGCAGGTGGCTGGGCTAGTCTGTTTTGAATAAGAGCTTTGGGATCAATCTTTAGTCTGAGGACCAAAAAGCAATCACAATCTCTCCACTTAATTGCTGCTATGGAAAATGCAGGAAAACATTTCAACCTGAAATACTAATGTTCTTTCAGCCATGCCTGTGTCTACATGCACACTAATCACTTACAGCAGTTACAAATGAGGATGGAAGTTTTCCACCCTGCATTGATAAAATCCAAATTGACAATTTGTTTAAAAACTGTTATTTGGACCAGATTCAGCGCCTATTCAAAGAAATGTGTCAGGATAAGAGGATGTGAATAACACAAAAAAACAATGACTGCATGGCTTTTATTAAAGATATTTTTATTGTGTATAATGCTTTCTGAAGCAGAAATATGAGACACGAAATCTATTATTCATGCTTTTTGCATATTCATACAGATATGACTATAATGAAAGTTTGTCTTCTGCCATGGGCATAACTCTGAGCCCCTCAGTAATAAAACAAATGTTTTCTAGGACCAGGGCATTTATATGCAAAAATCATCTTCACAATGCAAACTTTGTCTGAAAAATAAGGCTGTTGTTTTTAAAGGAGCCTTGCTATATTGCCAAGGGCATTGCATTTTTTATTGACATTTATATAATATCAGATACAAATTAGGAAACTTAATTATAAAATGGTACTAATCCTCCGTAAGTATTTTAATCAATTTATATTTATTCATTTTAAAATTAAATAGAGAAACTCTCTTTCAATGAGCCAAGAGAAATCATTTTGGGCTGCACAATGAAAAATGTGGGAATTATTGTTCTGATTAGGCATTCAGCTAGTGAGACTGTGTATTAAGCATGGGCAAATATAAACTTATTGAACTGTTGAATTAAGTACTGTGTGTTTTCATTTAATTATGTTTAGGAAACAGTTTAAAATATCAGTTGATAGGTTAGTGCTACTTTAATTGATCCATTGTTTTGAAGTAGCTATCGTCTGATAGAATACTATATTCCAGGTGATGAAACCTAATAAATAATAACTTGGAGAGAATAGATTTCCTCTTTCAGTGGAAAACATTATCAGTACAATTTTTATTGTATGTCTATGGCATTTTGGTATTATCCAACTTTAGTGACTTAGAAAAACCCCCAGATACTACAAAAACATCAGAATTTCAGAAGTAGGTAAAACTGATAAGTTGTACCTGTACATAATCACTTATTAAACTGAGTGTGGTCATCATTTCTCTTCTGCCAGTGAGCTGGGCACTAGATGTAAATGTGGTTCAAGAGGAAGGAACATAATGGTAGGTCAACAGGCCACTGAGTTTGCAGTGCTCGGTTGGGTTGTGGGCGTTTAGAATTAATTGATACAAGACACATGATTCTTCCAAGAATGGTATCCACCATCAATGTATCATGACCAGGTCGGAGGCTATGTTACAAGTTTATTTACTTGAAAATAACAGAAATAGTTTTGTTTCATTTATTAAATTATCTGACTTCATTTAGGAAACTAGTATACTGTTTATATCAACGTGTGGTTGATTTATTACTAGCATAAATGTTAGTACTTTCCAAGGGAAAAAAATAACCTCTAACATGTTCACCAAACTGCACACAGAATCACTTAAACAATTAAAATTGTTGAAGTTAATTTTTCAAACCCCAAGCTATAGTGCCATCAGCAGCTCCTGAGCTACTGGATAAAGAGGATGCAAATGTGTATACTCACGCTTGCGCACAAGCGGTCTCTCACACATACACTTACACAGGTATGAAATTAGTAGATTAAGGACTTCAAATGTTATTTAATCACTGTAGCTACCAAGCCTAGAACTATAGAGTTGACAGTTTAAAAATAACCTGATCCAGTCTCTTAATTGTACAGATGAGGAAATCGATGCCCTTACCGAAAATTGCAAAATTAACAAGAGTTGGACCCTGCATTACAAGTTAGCGCTCACATAATATGTGTTCCACACTTGTCCATTGAGCTGAATAAGCCATGTACATTCTCCAGGAATCTATTCATGCAAATAAGACCCGGGCTTTAACTTTCTTGAACTTTTGTTTTAAAATAGAAATTGCCTTAACCACAGACACACTGAACAAAAAATAATTGTTTAATTGAATTCAACTGGAGAATGGAAATCAGAGACAGAGGCTTCTCTGAGTGGTGGAAAGGGTGACTGCAGGGCCAGGATAGTTAAGTGGGGGTCCAGAAGAAAGTAGCTCTTTCACCCAGGGAATCGGGGACCAGGGCAGAAGCCATGAGAGCTAAATGGCTGTCGAGGGAGAGTACAGAGCAGCGCAGAGAAAGAGACACCACCAGGGCCTCCACCTTCCCCTTGAGTAAAAGAGTAAGTCAGATCTGCAAGGAACTGAGGACTCTGCCTGACCTACTTAGTTGTTGGTGCCAATGTAAATCAGCACAAAGTCCAAGCAGCTTGGCTGAACATCCACCAACCTTAGCATATACTGATTCTCAAACAAATTTAAGAACAATCCCAAGGGAATGTCCAAAGGAAGGAATTTGTGAAGTTTTCTGTGAGAATAAAAACCTCACCCTGTTTCATGATGGTGATGACCAGGAGTAGTAATAGAGAGTACTTATAAGTGCTTTATAGCTACTCCAATGTGGTAAATAAAATTAAGTCCTTAACACCCCAGAATTAATTTTATTCTTGACCCCTTAACCTCCCAGTTTATATGTGAGTACAAATGTTATGTAGGATACTTATATGCCAGCGATTAAAGCATGGAGTGATTACTCTTCTAGTCAATGAAGTTAAAATGTCTTTTCAGAATAATGGTAATAGAAAGAAGCTATATTGGTAAAAAATCTATAATGTGGCCACTCTCACCATCTACTGCTCTCTCCTCCTCCTACCTGACTCCAGCCACACTGACCTCCTCACTATTCTTTGAACATGACAGGATAGAAGGAGGAGGATGGATAGAGCCTTTGCCTTGTTTGTTTTCTCCCCCGCCTGGAGTGTTTCCCGCATCTGTCTGTAAGGCTAGTTCCCTCATCCTCTTTAATTCACCTCCGCAGGGGGCGTGCCCTGAGCTCCCTGTTCCCTGTTGCCATCCGCCTCCCCAGCAGCCAGGACTTCCTACTTGATTGTGATTGCTCCTTTTATGTCCTCATAGCACTTTTTTACCTCCCAATGTAAAAGGTCATTTACTTAGGTGTATTGTCTGTTTCCTCCACTAGGATATTAACATAGAAGCTCCACAGGGGCAGGAATCTTTGTCTAGTTTGTTTACTTATTTATCCCCAAAGCTCAGAACAGTGTCTGGAGCATAGCAAATGCTCAGTAAATATTTTCAATGAATAAATGACCAGATGAATCTTGACTTCCCAGGATAGAAATTTAGGAAAAATTTCCTAGGGTTAACCCACATGTTGCCCTTTGTCATAATCAGGATCCGTTTATATATCAGTTGTGATCTGCTTTTCATTCTAGCCAACTTATTTGTCTTTAGAGAAATGATCTATAGGGAAGTTGTCCTCTTTGTCCGAAAGCTTCAAATAGAGCAACATTAGGACCAATCTTGGCATTTAAGTCCCAGAGAAATTCAGGTTTACTCTGGGAAATATATAGATTAGGTAAGAATAAAAATATCAGTAAAAGAGACTATATTTCTAAGCAACAGAAATTCCATATTAAAACAAACCATGCCCAGATGGTCAGGAGATAATATCAGAGGAGCTTTCACTGGAGCCAAGAGGAAGCTCCTTTGAAGCTGACCAAAATAAGGATGGATAATCTGCTATCACTACTGCCAAATATTTCTTTTTCTAATGACTATGGCCAGATAATGATGCAAATGTAGGCCTTATTTGTGTAGGAGGACCTGTCAGAAAAGCCAACATGGTAGGTCTCTTATTTTAGTATCCCAACAGGCATATTCCAGAAGGATGTGAACACTGAGATGCACATTCCAAGGAATCTGAGATAACAGGAATCAGTCACCACCTGTCTCAATCCATTTGGGCTGCTGCAAGGAAATATAGACCAGGAAGCTTGAAAACAATGGAAATTAATTTCTCACAGTTCTGGATGCTGGGATGTCCAAGATTAGGGCTCTGGAAGATTTGGTATCTGGTGAGGGCCCATTTGCAGGTCTACAGATGGTGCTTTCTATCTGTGTCCTCAGATGGTGGAAAGGGCAAAGCAGCTCTCTGGGGCCACTTTATTTAAGGGCACTAATCCCAATCATGAGGGTTGTGATCTCATGATCTTATCACCTCCTGAAGGCCCCGCCTTGAGCATTAGGATCTTAACATGAATTTGGGGGTGGGGGGTGGCACAAATATTCAGACCACAGCACCCCCTTAAACCCTACTATGTGGCTTCTTCTCAGGCCTTCTGTAGCTAGCATACTCTTAGGTCTGAGAGCCATGCAACGCCCATTTTCTCTGACCTTAGCGTGCTATCCCTTCAAAGATGCCACACTCTAGTCAGAAACACAACCTATACCTTCCAAAGCCCCAGCCACTAGTAGTCAGAGAAGTGGTCCAATTGGCCCAGCACGGCTGCCCCAAAGATCTTCCTCAAGTTCAAATCCAAGTAGTGCCCTTCTTTGCTTGAAATCGTGGGCTGATTTTTCCCATAGCTTCAAATTCTATGACTTAGTACAAAACACCCTTTATTATCTGGTCTTTGTCGTGGCATTGATCACATTTTCCTGGTCACTGGTCTCCTGTGTGTCTTTCTCAATATGTGATAGACTCCCAGAGGATAAGACTTATACCTTACTCATTTTAGTATCCTCAGTGCTAGGCCTACAGAGGTTCTTAGTAAGTATTGGTTCAGTGGTTGAATGGATCAAGGGGAATCTTGTGATGTTCCAAACCCTAACATGGCTGCTTTTTTTCTTCCCCGAGGACTTTGGCATTATGTTCCTGCACCACCTTATATCTATTTCCTTGATTACCTTTTCATATGTCAACAACATGGCCCGAGTGGGGACCCTGGTCCTTTGTCTTCACGATTCAGCTGATGCCCTTCTAGAGGTAAAAGTTTTCTTTTCTTTTATAAGAATACAAAATCTGGAATTCAGGAAGTCCCCAGGATCATGAGTTCTTCAGTGTGATGCTAGATGGTTCTTGGGGACCATAGTAAACGACTGCTTTAAAACTGCAGAATGTTCTTCGTAGGTTAAATTGGTGAAAACGAGACTTTAAATTAGTGTGTAAACTTTTATACAAAAAAGGTTAGCATACTTTATTAATAGAATGACGAAAACCTTTATAATTCCACACTTAAGGAATGAATGATTTCACAAAGGCAAATTATCATTTGAGTGGGTTTTGTCTCTTGTGTTGTAAGTTTCACACTGATTTATGGGGAAATTTTATATAACTCAGATTAGTTACTATGGGAGCTGTACATCCCAGTGAAATTAAGTAGTAGTTATAGTTTTTATTGCCAATACATATATTGTCCTAGTATTTTTATGGTGAAAAGGATATGTGAATTCTAAATTGTATATAGAAACGATTTTCTGTGTATATAAGCGTAAAGAATATCTGTGGAAATATTGGTTGCACTTGAACTTTCTAAACAATCGTCACTTAGAATTCTTAAAGTAGTAAAATAAATAAATAAAAATGCTCTAGCATATTTCAAAGGTAAAATCCCAAGGAAAATTTTGATGTGGTGTTTAACTCTTAATTGTGGTTCCAGTGAAGAGTCACACTCAATAAT